AATATATGTGTGGTAAAACGTTGCATTGCCAAATGGGTGGAGGGAATGGAATAATTTGGTTCTTTATCAGATTTGTAATAGCACTCTGGCTGTAGGCTGATTAATCTCATTTAGAATTTCTGGATTGAATAATGTTTTTCTTCCTTTTTATGTCTGCCTCTCGCTGCCTCTTTCTCTCTCTCTCTCTCTTAAGCCCGCTTTACTCTGACTGCGATGTTATCACTGGAGGTTGCTACGTCCCTGTATTGTTGATCGCTAGTGTTGATTTCATTGTATATTGACAATTAATAGGAAATACAGTCAAAATCTACTATTGGGTAAGTAAATGTAACAAATCACGTAAAAATGTATAATCTTTTATTAGAAAATTAAACAACATTTTCTCAAACTTTGATAATTGCCTTAATCTTTTAAACAACTGAGAAGATCTACATTTTATAAAAATCACCTATCAATTTCAGTGAGTAAAGAACAAATGTATACTCACCTGCGTTATGTATTAATTAAGTATGTTACGGTCTCTGACAGACAGCATGTTGAAGCTGCTTAGGGTGCCATTTTCTCCTTCTCTGAAAGCGATGGCGTAGGCAGAACGTCCGGTAGTTTTCCAGGAAATGTGTGTACTCCCTGGAGCTCTTTAGGCTTCTTGTAAATACTACCATGTATTGTGTACGTTATTTTTTGACAGACAAAATGTTACATTGAGCATGTCGGAAATTTGTTGACTTTTGAAAATCTTATTATTATTTTTTTTTTTACCAGGAAAGGATTGGTTTTGTAATTGTAATTTTAATTATTTTGAGCTCCACTGTCTTCACTCCAAGTGGTAGTCGCTACACACATCACTCCTAATTTGCATGACATGTAACTTTACTCAATTTTATCACACTGAAGGACACTGCTACATTGTGTCACCGCTGAATCTTGTCACTCTTGTCAGGGGAAATCACTGACTCATTGAAAATGAATGAGTTTCTGTCGCTATGTCAGTCTCAGGGTAGACAGGATTTACCCTTAGACGCAAGGCCTTTCTTTATTGTATAGGCATCTATAAATAACTGTTGATCTCTTTCATTTCACACCCAGACTCTGTGCAGAGTGAAATACCTGGAGTTCACACAGTTTGCTGTATATTGTGTGTTTATGTGTGTCTTTCATTCTGGATTTGTCGAATTCTATAACCCACACAATATTTAATTTAAAACTGGGATTTAGAAACACTTTCCACTCACTTTTTTTTTATAGGTGGAGAAACTCAAACACATAGAGAGCTAGAAATCTAGAAACCAAGCTCCGCTAATATATTTACGTGAATTACACTAAGCCAAATCGGTTTGCTACTGGTGTGAATGTGCTGTCACGGCAGCAATTCAGTGGAAATACTAAACACATATGACCTACAATGCCCTGATTAATTTATTTTCATCCCCACAGCAGTCGTTTGTAAATGGGAAGAATGCACATGACACACAAAGCCATTTGACTTTCAACTGTGATCAGTTGTGGTCATTTAGATTAGCTCATTATGAAAAGAGCTTTCCTGGAGCATTTCAGTCCTTGGTAGTGCAACTGAAGCAAACAATCAACTATGGGTGGCAAGGCACTGTCAAAAGATCTCCAGGATAAAGTTGTGGATGGGCACAAGTCAGGAGATGGATACAAAAACAATTTCAAAGGCTTTATCAATGCCTAGAAGTACAGTGAAGTCTATTATTAAGAAGTGGGAGGTATTTGGGACAATTCAGACCCTCCCTGGATCAGGACGTCGCTCTAAACTGGATGAAAGAGCCAGAAGGAAACTGGTCAGAGATGCTACCAAGAGGCCTACAGCAACTCTGAAGCAGTTGCAGGAATTTATGACAAAGATTGGTCATTGTGTGCATGTGACAACAATATCACAAATTCTCTACAAATGTGGCTTGTATGGGAGAGTTGCAAGAAAAAAGCCACTCCTCAAGAAAGGCCACATGCAGTCACGACTGAGCTTTGACAAAACGCATCTTGAAGATTCTGAGACAGATAAGACTAAAAGTGAATTATTTGGCCTCAACACCAAAAGATATAGCTGGCGGAAATCCAATACAACTCACCTTTCAAATAACAGCATACCTCCAGTAAAGCATGGTAATGGTAATATCCTGTTATGGGGTGTTTCTCTGCAGCAGCAACTGGAGCACTTGTCAGGATAGAAGGAAAACGGATGGGGCAAAATACAGTCAAATTCTTGAGGAAAATCTGCTGCCCTTTGCCAGAAAGTTGACGATGGTAAGAAGGTTTACCTTCCAACATGACAATGACCCAAAGCACACAGCAAAACTGAGAACACAGTGGTTGAGGGAGAAAAAGGTGAATGTCCTTGCATGGCCTAATCAGAGCCCAGACTTAAACCCCACTGAAAATCTGTGGAATGACTTGAAGACTGCAGTCCACAAAAGATCACCATCAAATTTAACTGATTTGAGTTAAAGAGTTAAACAAATTTAACTCTTCTGCAAAGAAGAGTGGGCAAATATTGCAAAGTCTAGATGTGCAAAGTTAGTAGAGACATGTTGATGTTTTACCTTTCACTTGGATGTTATAAGTTGCATATAAGTAAATACAGTGAAGTGACGTATGACGTGTGGCCAAGTATGGTGACCCATACTCAGAATTTGTGCTCTGCATTTAACCCATCCAAGTGCACACACACACCGTGAACACACACCCGTAGCAGTGGGCAGCCATGTGCTGTGGCGCCCAGGGAGCAGTTGGGGGTTCGGTGCCTTGCTCAAGGGTCTCACCTCAGTCGTGGTATTGATGGTGGAAGAGAGTGCTGGTTATTCACTCGCCCCACCGACAATTCCTGCCGGACCTGAGACGCGAACCTTTTGGTTACAAGTCTCTCTCTAACCACAACTGCCCTGACAGCTGGATAACATAAAAACTCTGTCTGTCTTCATTTCAGTCTGCAAAGCAACAAAATGTGATTATTTTAAGGGGGGGGGTGATTATTTTCTATATCCACTGATATATGACAATGGAGTCATGGGGTGCATGTTTGTTTTCTAGAAATAAGTATCTAACTTGGCTTTTGAGACATCAATCCTTTGCATACCGCCCCTGAAGTCATCCATGTGTAAAAGGCCGGTGAACCATTAAGGATGGGGTCAGCTTTTACACATGATCTCTTTTCATTGCTCACTTAGCATAGAACGGTGGTAATTAATGGAATTGCTGTATACTCGTGCTAATGTCTTACTCGTGTTTTTTTTTTTTTTTTTAATACCCCTTTTTTGATTCTGCATTAATGAAGCATAGTATGTGTTAATGAGCTTTTGTGTTTCTGTATGTGTGACAAAGGTCTCTGCCACCTCCTTGGTTAAGGGCTTTTACTTCAGTTTCTTAAAAGCAGGCTCCTGACATCATCTACATAATTTCCTTTCAAATTGCTAACTGTTGATGATTTAACTCTTACAAATTGTTCCAGTCATGCCAAAAATGGTTTATAGGAACTTACTTATTTTAGGTTTTGCTTAAAATGTTTGTTTTGTTCTACAGATTTAGTTTTACCTGGATGCTTTTTTTTTTCTTTTATCTTCTTATTTTTTTATTTACATTTATTTTTTTTTATTTTTGTCTTGCCAGTGTTCTTTAAAGCATTTTGTGAATGGTACAGATGCAACTCTTATTATGTTTGTTTGTTTTCTTTCCATTTCTTGTTTTAGTTTGTACTTCGTCAAGGTGGTACCATGATAATGTGGTAAAAATCGATTTTGAGCTTTACTCAACTCGTTGTGATTCATAAGCACGTCTTGAATTTATCACTGAACAAAGAAGGTTCCCCAGATTGCTCTTCACACAAATGCCTAGAAAATTATTTGGGACAGATGTACCTCCATTTTTAAAGATTACTGTCAGGAAAGTGACCTACTTCTGAAAAGTGTTTGGTTTTACGATAACGAGCTTGGGGTTTTTATCCCCAAATCTAACCATTGCTGTCCATTTCTTTAAAAAGTATTGAACCGATTCTGATCAGCTTTGTCTGTAAAGTTAGTTACATATTTGGAGGCATTGAATCGGTTCAGAATGTTTGCATACTTTTCCACAGCAAAAATTCAAAAACATTATTTTAGTGTATTTTTTCTTCCCCTTTGTTGTGTTGTTGTATAAGCATATCATTTGTATTTTTTTTTTTTTTTGGTTGCACATTTCTGTAATTCAAAAGATGTGGCAGTCTTGGTAAATTTGTCCTTAGTGTGCATCATACAATGCACTAGACTGTTCTCAAGAGGTGAGAAAAATCTGTTTTCCTAATGTCCTCTTATTACCGGCAGTGACAATGTACAGAGCCAGACTGTTTCTGTAGAGGCAATCTGTTATAATTATCTGTAGAGAACACTTTGTTAGTTATGTATACAGTACCTTGTGCATTAGTAAAGTAATCTGGTTCTGGCATTTAGGTTGCAGAAAACAAGCACATTTCTCTCAGATTGGAAGTGGCATGTCTCATTTATGGCATTACTTTAAAAGTCCTTATTGAATTTCTTTTTTTCTCAAAGGTTAATGACTTACAGTAAATGCTGAATTTTCCACAGTATAACTTAAAAAGAGATTGTCTCTCATTCATTAATAATCTTGTTTATATTTAATATCTGAAAATGAATGTCAATCTACTAATTTTATTTTATTTTTTACTTTTTTCCCCCTTTATCTTTTCTCTCTCTGTCTCCTTTTTTAAGATCCTTCTGATATTATGCACTATCCACGTGCTAATTTCCTGTCTCGCAACTCCAAATTGACTGTATCTCTCTTCGAACAAATTATTATTATATAACTAGTGAAAACCTGTGAAAATGTACAAATTAACACAGTGTTAATTTGTGTTACTTCTCTTTCCCCTTGGTGCTATATACTGTAGATTGCTTTTTCTCTCTTTTCTTTCCTCCCTTCTGACTTACCTTATTTAATCTAAACACAATAACTGACAAATACATATCATGTTGGCTTGTGTAACTCCACAGGTTGCATTTCCTGGTCTTCCACACAGAAGAGGTGCATGATGTTTTGCGGATCTGGGATGGACCTCAGGACGGAGGTGTTCTGCTGAGAGAGCTGAGTGGCTCTACACTTCCTCCAGATCTCCACAGCACCTTCAACTCTGTCAGTCTGCAGTTTACAACCGACTTCTTCACCAGCAAGCAGGGTTTCGCTCTGCAGTTCTCGGGTATGTGTTTTACTCACACTCCATTTACTCTCAATCCACTTCACAGCACCACACTTTCACCAGCGATCAGAGTGGATGGTTCGATTGCAGAATTCTCAATCCTTGTAGATGCTTTAAGGGGTGAATAGTTTATTCCCTCACAAAATATAAGTGCATTTTGTTTATTTTGCTCTTTTGCATTTAATCAAAATCCTTCGCTATTTGATTTGGTTCAAGGCTTAAATGTCTTTATTTATTTAATTTTAAATGCCAGTGCAGAATATGAACTGGAAGAACTCTTCCAGAACCAAGGTCTCTGTAAAGCAAGCGGTTGCTCAGAGTTGGTGTAGACACATTTTCATCCAGGTTGTTGATTTTATGCGAAAACTGATATATTGCTACAAATTGTAGATAAAATGGGGTTTCCATCCCTTGTATTCCAAGCCACTTTGGCTCTTTGGTAACACTTTAGTTTAGGGACCAATTCTCACTGTTAACTAGTTGCTTATTAGCATGCATATTACTAGCATTTTGGCTTTATTAGTACTTATAATGCACATATAGTATTAATGCCTTATTCTGCATGACCATATTTTAGGTCCCTTATTATTGTATTGGGGCAGCTGTGGCCTAATGGTTAGAGAGTCAGACTTGTAACCCAAAGGTCACGGGTTCGAGTTTTGTGCAGACCACAAATTCCAAGAATGGGACACCATACTTGGCTACACGTCACTTTCACTTTCATTAGCAGCAAATTAGGAGTTTATTGAGGCAAAAGTCATTGTTAATAGTTAGTTAATAGTGAGAATTGGTCCCCAAACTGAAGTGTGACTGGCTATTTTATTAAATGTAATAAATTTCTTGCCGTTTTGAGCATGCAGACAAAACATTAAGTATGTGAACAATTGGTCGACAGTTCTATGAGTCAGTAGTAGCCAAACATCCGAGCAAATTAATCTGTAACATGAGGCCTTGAGGCAAGTCGCATGATATTTTTGGTTCGTATCTAGAAATGTATTCAGTAAATGTGCTTCCATGTTCCATCCCACTTTCCATCCAGCCCCATCCTGAAACTCATACAATTTTTGATAAAAACCTTGCTAGTGGGAGATAGTGCTTGAGCTCCAGAATGACAACAGAAAAGCACCATCTTAGAGCTTCTCCTAAAGCCAACGACAGCACCCACCATGCAGCACGACCTTACAGAGGCAACCTCTCCACTGACAATAAATGAAGCCAAGGTTTATGTGCTTCTGTCTGCTGTCAGCTTGTAACCAGGGTAACCATCCCCGCCCACCTCCATCAGCCATCACTCCAACCACAGTGTCCTGATTTCTTGCGTGATATCTTAGAGACTCAAAAAATTCATTAAATGTTTTACATAAAAAGTGAAAAGAAATATGCATTACACATCAATGCCATGATATTTCAGTTCCAAAGCCTCACATTTTACTTTTAAAACAGCCCATCTGGGTTAAAGCATCTTTGAGAGAGTGCCACAGAGATGCAGGTGTCTAGATAACTAAACGAACGTGTGTAGAAGCATGCGGACTAGAGCTGTCATTTGGGTGCTACAGACTCAGTGGCTCTAACTGTGTAGGTAGTACTGTATGCAGGCTTACAGCAGTTATTGTGGATGTTTGTAATGCTTGGTAGGTCAGTACCACAAACCAGCAGATAACTTAGATTGGTTACTCATGAGCAACAGACTTTCTATTTCTTAGTCTAAGGACAGTGGTTGTCCTTGACAATGGGAGGCTTTCGAGTTAAAAAGGTTGAGAACCATTGGTCTATATTGAGACAATGGGATCCATTGATTACGTTAAGGTTGCTGACTGGATGTTTTCCTTTCTGCAGTTTCAACTGCCACTTCCTGTAATGATCCTGGCATTCCAACAAATGGCACCCGCATAGGAGACAGCAGAGAACCAGGGGATCATGTGCTGTTCCAGTGCGATCCCGGATACCTCCTACAGGGGGCGACCAAAATCACCTGTACCGAGATCAACAACCGTTTCTTCTGGCAGCCTGATCCACCCACCTGTTCTGGTAAGAGCATGCCAAATTAAGAAATGTAAATGCTCCCTTCTTCAACCAACACTTCCACAGTGATCCCTCCATCTTTACACTTTATTTTTAATGTAAGAGCAGGCATTTTTATCTTGAATGTGCATGGCTTCTGATGTCATACGCTTCCAGTTTTTTTTAGCTGTAGAAAGCATGTAGTTATGCTCTTATGCTGCTTCATGGTGCACACTGGTATTTGTTATCATATTAATTTAATTTATTATTTTAAATAACTATTGTAATCACAATCAGAGTTTTTTTTAAATGTTTTTTGCACAAATAGTTTCACCATTTACTGCACTGTTAATCCTCTAGTAATTTACTGATAGCAGACAAATTAATCACAAGACTCCCACATTCACAGGAAATAGCTTACTTCCTGAAAAAATAAGGTGGATACTCTGTCCCATCAGTTTCACATAAAGAAAGACATAAAATTAATCAGTATCACACAAGCAAAAGTGCAACTAGAATGAATATTGACAGAGTTTTGGTTTTGCTAATGGCTAATAATGCTAATATACTGTTGACATCAAAACTGCAGAAAACCCTAAACATTCTGAAAATTCATGTAAGCACACTTTATATAATGAGCTCAACACTCAATGATGCAATTCAAGTCATATTGAAATTATTTTCAGTTTCCTTTGTTCAAGGCCTAGTTCCATCTATTCCATATACCATATACCATCTAGTCTCTTACAGCAGCTACATTATAAAGATTTCATCACACTACTTCCCAGTATTTGGTTTTCTTTTGTGAATTAAAGCCACTTTATGTTAATAGCCAGTCTTAACTATAATATAATTAGGTTGCCTTGTTCAATTAAACTCAGTATGAGTTTGTGTTAATGTTAACCTGAACCACAGGCAAAACCCTGGAGATGTTTGCCTGTTCCAGGTTTTCTTTTAAAAACTTGCAACTGCTGAGTTGAGCACATGACTTCATTTACTTAATAATCTTCGGGACTAGATAATTACAGATTTGCTAATAGTTAAAACAGGAAGTGTTTATCTCAATAAAGCAAAATTACAACTATGTTCTAGATCAGTGTTTCCCCCCTGAAAGGGTGCCGCGACTAAAAAAAGGTTGGGAAACACTGTTCTAGATCATCTGGGTTTTTTGTTGACTCCAAGTCCCTTATTTGTAAACAATAATATTTGTAGGTCCCATGACTTTTCCCATTTTTACTGGATGAGGATAAATAATTTTTACTCAATTTCTACTAGGGCTGCACGATAAATCGCATGCGATATTTAATGCGCATCTTGTCAGAAAGACGGTGTGTAGTTAATGCTGCTCAATGTGAAAGCATGCACGTGATGGAGATTTACCGCTGATTACAGAACCGGCTTTACTGATAAGATGCGCGTTAAATATCGCATGCGATTTATCATGCAGCCCTAATTTCTACCTAATTAAATTTATATTGTATGACTTTTTAATACTGTATTGAGCTATACGTTTTTCAGGATTAGTTTGGAAGTTTGCGGAGGCCCCCTTGTGTGCCCCGGCCCCCTGGTTGAGAACCACTGTTCTAGATGAAGTTTTAGCATTAAAGGCCCACATTTTGAAAGTGCAAGTAGTATGTTCAGTATTTCAATTTCCACTGTTTCTTTTTCCTTCCTTTTGTATTGCAGCTCCATGTGGAGGCAATCTGACTGGTCCCAGTGGACTGATCCTGTCCCCTGAATACCCAGAGCCTTATCCTCATGGCAGAGAATGTGACTGGACAGTAACAGTAATGCCAGATCACATCATATCACTCACTTTTAATCAGTAAGATTGTTTTTTAAAACTAAAGTCTCCCATTTTCCTGTAGTTACATTACCATATTATACTATACAGTGTTATTTTTCTAATATTTATAATTTTAGATTTATTTCAATTAACGGAAACTATTTTAATAGTAGTTTAATAGTTTTAGTTACAATAGCAACACTGGTTGTTTATAGTTATAGCATACATGTTTACTTCTTCCCACTAGCTTTAGTTTAGAGCCAAGCTACGACTTCCTGCACATCTACGATGGGCCTGATTCTCTCAGCCCTCTGCTGGGCAGCTTTTATGGCACGGACGTCCCTGAGCGCATTGAGAGCAGCTCCAACACTCTCTTCCTGGCCTTCCGCAGTGACGCCTCACTCAGCAGCAATGGATTTGTCCTGCAGTACACTGGTATGTTGCCCCCTTGAGGTGGGAGGAATAAGTTGCATGCTTTCCCATTTTGTAGGAACTTTATGTGCCTGCATTGCATGAGAATTTGGTTAAAAAGTAGTATCAGAATTACCTTAATTTTCCATTTGTCTTTGTTCTTTGCCTTTTGTTCTTTTGTTTCTGTAGTGTGCCGTACTGCAACAGCACTTTGACTGTTGCCTTGATCACCCCCTCCTGCTCGTACCGCTTTCATGTAGCATATAATTATCGACCCGTGGCACTTCTCGCAGTTGTCTAGAGAAGAATTATGAAAATGAAAAGCCAGAATGCACTCACTAAAGCTGACATTTGATCAATGTTTTGCTGTCACACTAAAGGCTCAGCACAAATGAGAACAAATGCGAGTTTGCTGTCTCTGTATGCGCCCTGCTGACCTCACTTTGTTTGATGACACTTTGGCTTATTAGTTTATTCATGAAATGACAGACTTGTCCGATCAGACACAACAGGATCCCAAATCAGTACTCGCCAAGAGTCCGAAACAGGGTCAAATTTGCCTTTGGCAAGCAAGTAAAACAGAGATACTGACAAAGCTGCCACAATTCTTCTATGATCCTTGCCTCAGTGGACCATCAGAAATCTATATAAAATGCCTTTTTTTTTTCTTTATAGACCTCCTTGTGTTGAAAATTATGTAGAATGTGAAGATATATATGTAAAATTAATATAATAACAAAATTACAATGTTTTTGTGATGTGCAGTTTTACTAAGGCACTGATACTGTTTCCTATAATAATTCATATATGGCACTTTTACCTATTTTTGGAAAAAGTAAGGAAAAGTAGCATGCTATTCAAAAGGTTGCTGTCTTTTTTTATAGTAATTCATACTTTTATTCAGCAAGGATGTGTTAAATTGATTGATAGTGTCATTAAAGACATTTGCATTGTAACAAAATATTTCTATTTAAAACAAATGACGTTTTGAACGTTCTATTCATTAAAGAATCCTGAAAAAAAAAGTTTCCTCAAAAATGTTAAGCACCACATCTGTTTAACATTACATTTACATGTACATTTAGTCATTTAGCAAATGCTTTTATCCAAAGCGACTTACAAATGAGGAAAAAAATCATTAATCATTAATAATAATAACATATGTTTCTTGAGCGGCAAATCAGAATATTAGAATAATATTTGAAGGATCATGTGCTACTGAATTGAAGAATAAAGACTAGAAAAATTAATTGCATTTTAAAATATATAAAAAAAATAAAGAAGTTGAAAAAATGTTTCACAATAGTACTGTTTTTACAGTATTTATGATCAAATAAATGCAGCCTTAATACGTGTAAGAGACTAAGCAACACCAAACTTTTGAACGGTAGTGTATTATTTATTTATTTTGTAAATATGGTGAAATTAACACTGGTCTCATGGCGTCAAGTAAGACAAATGATTCAGAACAACAACAGCAGCTACCGCATTGATGCTTTTACACTCCATGTTTGTTATACATACTTTTTACAGTCTCTGTCAATGAACTTAAAGTGAACCACAATAGAACATGGTAACACTTTATTTCGATAGTCCACTTTAGACATTCTATTAACAGTAAGTAACTTTGCAACTACATGTCAACTAGCAGTTAGTAGAGTATTAGTAGACTGTCTGCTTAATATCTTTTAACTCTTTCTTTGTCAACTTATTCTACTAACCCTAAACCTACCCTAACAGTCTACTCTGAGAATTAGTAGACATGTAGTTGCAAATTAATGAGAATTAGTTGAGATGTAGTTACAAAGTTACTTATAGTTAGTAGAATGTCTAAAGTGGACTATCGAAATAAAGTGTAACCTAGAACACTACCTACTGATGGCCGTTGCTGGCATGCAGTGGTCAGAGTCAGAGAGAGAGAGAGACCGTGCTCTATAGATCACCCTCTGTTGTGCTTGGTGAATGAGGAACAGTATTCTCTCAATCTGGTGCAGCAGATGGACACAGTGTGTGGCACTTCAAAAGCTCCAGTTCCAGACCCCAGTCTCCTTACAATGAATTAGTATAAACTAATAATGTGGAAGCAAATCATAAACACACAAAAAGTGTTTGTTTCAGCTTAACCCTGAAAGAAGTGTTAGTTTAGCCAGTCTGACATTGGGTCACATTGGTTCATCTGCGCGTGCCGCTGCTGTTGGAACGAGCTTCAGGTGCTGTCAACCTCTTTACAGACCAATCAGCTTCTCACAGACTCCCAACTGTGTCTGATTGGCCTCCGAGGTGCAATATGTGGGCCAAGGCTCTGCACGCTTGACCGACAGTTAAATAAACACCACACACACATACACACTCCATTGCTCGTCCAGAGTGTTCCCTGCCAGCTCAAACATTTGTCATGTCCAAATGCGCGAATACACACTCATACACAACCTCATCAATGGACACCTGAGCTAGATTTTAAGACTGGCTGTTGTCCACTCTTAATTACTGCCCGTCCCGCACTCGTCTTGTTAGAGCGGTGAGGAGCCAGTTGTAGGAAGATGAACTGAGTTATGGACTGTCTGGAGCGTCGGCCACAGCATACAGATTGCGGCCAGTTTCAATATGCTATTGGGCCATGAAGGGAACGGCATCAGAATGAACATTGCAGTGTAACTATGTTTGGAAGTAATATCTCAACAAGAACTGCTTGCAACCCATTTTTTGCTGTGCGATGCAGATGTGTAGTAAGAATGATTGATTTCTAATTTTGGCCAAAGTATGCGGTGTGCACCGTACACATGTCCCGCTGGGTGATGGACTGTTTTGTGTAGTCAGCAGACCTGATCTAGCCCAGTGTCACTTTTAATATGTCCTGGGTCGGCCGTTCATGCTCCACAGGGCATGTAGGTTGCTGTGGCATATTTCTGGATTGTGAATTGGTGAAAGCATCTGCGTGCGCTCATTTGAAGCACCTTTGAAGGGCACTTATTCACACAAAGAGCCTCCTCTGTCTTTTTTCTTCTATTTTTAGCTCATGGGATTCTCAGTTGTGATTCTTTTGAGAAACATTTCAACATAGCCTCTCCAGTACTGACCTTTCATAGTATCTACAGCTGTTGGTTCTTCACAACCTGCACAAGCAGGCTTCTTCTTCTTCTTCTTCTTCTTGCTATTATTATTATTATTATTATTATTATTATGTGAAAACTTAATTTGATTGATGTTTGCAGAATCATTCAATGGGTATAGAAAAGAATCACCTTACTTTAAAATAATCACATTTTGGATGTTATAAGTTGCATTGAGTAAATACAGCTGGATAAAACAAAAACTGTGTCCGTATTCATTTCAGGCTGCAACGCAACAAAATGTGATTATTTTAAAGGGGGTGATTCTTTTCTATACCCAATGGATATGAGAAGACTATTATGTCATTAAAAGTTTTTACAGATGTTTTATTTAGTATATGATTTGCATGTCTTAGATTTGAAACGTGTTACACTGTAGTTCCAAATAAAATCACTCACCATTTGGCGAGTGACTACATTATTTACTCGACAAAGCCAGTTTTTTACTTACATTAGCTGTTTGGTGAGTATATGTATATATAAAGGTCCCTGTGCACACTGGATTATCAGTCTTTCACAAATAGCTTTAAATCATTATATCTTCCTGCCTTTTCTTCTTTATCCCTCTCACCATACTTTCTGTTTCTTTTCCTCAACAGAAAATCCCAGAGAGTCGTGCTTTGAGCCAGGCCTGGTGCGTAATGGTACTCGTGTTGGTACTGAGCTGAAGCTGGGGGCAACTGTCACCTATTACTGTGACAACGGCTATACGCTGGAGGGTGACGCCACTCTCACTTGCATCATGGGGGGAGACGGCAAGCCCGGCTGGAACAAACCAAAACCTGTTTGCATAGGTAAAAACGCAACACAAATTTTTGTTCAAGCTTTTGTTCTGTAACCATATATGCTCTTACGTTGTCAAAAACCTAGTGTTTGTCACATCTGCTGCCGTTCCCTTGGAAATAAGCAAAGGCTCAACTTTGCAATGTAACCTTGAGGAATACTTTGAACACACTGCAATTTCACTTCAGCAAACACTGGGGACATCTAGCAGGGCAGCTCAGGAATCAGACAAGAAAAGTTATTTAATCAGCAGAATGAGGGAACGGCAGAGAGGAAATGGGGAGGACAGAATATTAGTCGCTAATGCCTTCTTTCTGTGGCTGTCCCTCTTGCTCAGCTCTGTGCGGTGGTCAGTATTCAGGGTTGGAGGGGGTGGTGCTCTCCCCTGGTTATCCTGGAAACTACAGCAGCGGCAGGACTTGCCTGTACTCCGTCATTGTGCCGAAAGACTATGGTAAGTAAGCACATGTGTAAACATACTATACATACACACAGTAATATTCAGGAACTTCTGTGGCATTACAACCAAGGAAGTCTACAGTGTAATGGGAAAGCTTACTGTTAGCATTCCCATTTATCTCAGTAATTTGAATGGCGTCACAGGAAATGCACACAGTCCTAAACCTTTCAATAGCAACTAGTGTTGCATGATATACCGGTACTAAAAAGGTATCGCAATACCCCGCTTTTAAAAATGGTACGATTCCTCATTTTACTACCGGTACTTTAAGAAATGACAGTGTTTTAATAAAAGCCGTATTTTCTGAGTTGCGTTGACGTGCGACAGCAGGACAGTGTGTGTTCAGCGCTCTGCTTCAGCTCCCTGCATGAACACTGGCTGTGCCAAACTTTATATATCAGCGCAGCACTGCTTAAAGTTATCGACAGTTTAGGAGTGAATGAGAAACATGCATGAATGAGAAAATAAAGCACGGGACGTGCTTGATGTTAAAAAGAGTTAAGTGCAATAAACCTCGAAAAAGAACTCACGTGCTGTCACACACCTGAAGCACGTGCACGGAAGTCCTCTCTCTCGCAGACAGCATGCGATCCCGAGTTCAGATCTCTTTCAGCAGTTACTGTGCTTCAGCGGTCAAATACACACACAATTATGTTAAAATGCCCTTCTTGGTTTATGACTGAAATTAACGTAAACAGCTGAGAAAGAAAACGCATGTGTGTCAATAAATTGGGTCCGTGCAGATCTTAAAAGTGACAGTAGACTAATATTCCTGCTGCTGTCTGTCTCTACAATGTTAATCAAGAAAAATATAAAATCACTCACTAATCTTGACTAACTTTACTAGCTTTAATAAGGATAAATGTATGTATGTTTCATTCATATAGTGAAGACTATGCAGTGCTTTACTTTTACATTTTGATTACTTTATTCAGTTTCCGGATCATCTCTTTCTTGAATGCTACTGTTAAATAGACCTACTGTACCTAAAAACACAGTTTATTTAATTTGTGTCTTTGTTTTATTGTATTTGTTCTTTATCTGTTGCACGCATCTGTTATCTTATTATTAATAACAAAAATGACTATATCATGATGTAAATTGTTATTGTGAAATAAAATTACTCCTAGCGTTGAATAATATTTTGGTCATACAGTATTTCCCACCCCTACCACATGCCCTAAGCTAACTTATCAATGTTGCAAAGATCTCTACATACTTGTAGGCTCGGCTGTATCATTGTCATTACCTGGTTGTTGCTCACCATAGGCCTGTGTGGTCAAGTGAGAGATTTCTCTTTTCCTTTTTTTTTATTAATTTTTTTCATGGTATCGGTTCAGAAGTAGTATTCAAGATATTTTAGTCAGGTATCATATCAAAGTCAAAATGTTGGTATCTAAAACACTACTAGCAATTATCCTGAGAAGAGATGTCAAAGACAGGGAGAAATTGAGATCCTTTCATGTGTTTACCAGCCTTGCAAACACATCAGTCATTGTAAAATCATCTAATATATATATATAATTTAAATGCAATATTTATGTTGTTTGCAAAATAATCTGAATGCACAGCTATGTTTGAATGGTTGTCAATGCTTTTTGGAACTAAATTTTGCAGTTTCAGCATCTAAAAGACTAGTTGTCACAATTAGTTAGGACGAGGAGTTACAGTGAATGTATATTCATCTTAAAACCCAATAGAATGCATATGTGAAGTGAAAGTGACATGTGGCCAAGTATGGTGACCCATACTCGGAATTAGTGCTCTGCATTTATCCCATCCAAAGTGCAGTTAAGTGCAGCGCCCAGGGAGCAGTTGGGGGTTCGGTGCCTTGTTCAAGGGCACCTCAGTCGTGGTATTGAAGGTGGAACCTTTGGGTTACGAGTCCGACTCTCTAACCATTAGGCCACGACTCCCCCTAATATATATGGTTCACTCATATTCTGTACAATATAGTGGTCCCAGAACAGTCAGGGGAAAGCCTCAGTGCTTAATTTCTCCATCCCTACCATCTTGGTTTATGACTGAATTTAACGTAAACAGTTGAGAAAGAAAACGCGTGTGCATCAATAAATTGGGTCCGTGCAGCTCTGAAAGTGACAGCAGACTATAATATCCCTGCTGCTGTCTGTCTCTACAATGTTAATCAAGAAAAATATAAAATCACTCACTAATCTTGACTAACTTTACTAGCTTTAATAAGGATAAATGTATGTATGTTTCATTCATATAGTGAAGACTATGCAGTGCTTTACTTTTACATTTTGATTACTTTATTCAGTTTCCGGATCATCTCTTTCTTGAATGCTACTGTTAAATAGACCTACTGTACCTAAAAACACAGTTTATTTAATTTGTGTCTTTGTTTTATTGTATTTGTTCTTTATCTGTTGCACGCATCTGTTATCTTATTATTAATAACAAAAATGACTATATCATGATGTAAATTGTTATTGTGAAATAAAATTACTCCTAGCGTTGAATAATATTTTGGTCATACAGTATTTCCCACCCCTACCACATGCCCTAAGCTAACTTATCAATGTTGCAAAGATCTCTACATACTTGTAGGCTCGGCTGTATCATTGTCATTACCTGGTTGTTGCTCACCATAGGCCTGTGTGGTCAAGTGAGAGATTTCTCTTTTCCTTTTTTTTTATTAATTTTTTTCATGGTATCGGTTCAGAAGTAGTATTCAAGATATTTTAGTCAGGTATCATATCAAAGTCAAAATGTTGGTATCTAAAACACTACTAGCAATTATCCTGAGAAGAGATGTCAAAGACAGGGAGAAATTGAGATCCTTTCATGTGTTTACCAGCCTTGCAAACACATCAGTCATTGTAAAATCATCTAATATATATATATAATTTAAATGCAATATTTATGTTGTTTGCAAAATAATCTGAATGCACAGCTATGTTTGAATGGTTGTCAATGCTTTTTGGAACTAAATTTTGCAGTTTCAGCATCTAAAAGACTAGTTGTCACAATTAGTTAGGACGAGGAGTTACAGTGAATGTATATTCATCTTAAAACCCAATAGAATGCATATGTGAAGTGAAAGTGACATGTGGCCAAGTATGGTGACCCATACTCGGAATTAGTGCTCTGCATTTATCCCATCCAAAGTGCAGTTAAGTGCAGCGCCCAGGGAGCAGTTGGGGGTTCGGTGCCTTGTTCAAGGGCACCTCAGTCGTGGTATTGAAGGTGGAACCTTTGGGTTACGAGTCCGACTCTCTAACCATTAGGCCACGACTCCCCCTAATATATATGGTTCACTCATATTCTGTACAATATAGTGGAAGTCCTGCCTTCTAAATAAAAGATGCAATCGTCAATTGGTCGTCACATCACTCCAGATGTCATTAGATACTCCAGTACCCATAAAAACAGTATGCATAGAAGACTGCACATGCAGGTCGGCTGGACCAACCTGAAATATGCCCTGTTTTAATGATATTTGAGCATAATAAACAACATGTATGGGACAGTTCATGTCTTATTTTATTGCTGCTTTAAATGTTATGGTTTTGTGATTTCAGTATCCCCACATTTAAGTAGTTGGACTTGCATGCCCAAAATAGCTGCCCGGAGGCATTGCAAATTGGCCGCTGAGTAAACTGAAAGGGACTTTGACCTGTATTGCCCTTCTTTCAGGGCTATAGAGCCTCTAGCTACGGACAACTTCTGGATATCCCCTCATATAACCCCAGCAGCTTCTACTTGATCACAGGACCCTTTTATTTGATCCATAAAACACGGAGGTCGTTTGGCCAGTTTGGGGTTCCTACAGAGTGTGAATTAGCAGAGGCGAGCCTGTCTGTATTTTGTCTGGGTCAAGCCAAATGTTGTGGAAGCAGAGCTAATTAAGGCACAAATTTCCGTAGGCATGTCATAATGGTTTCAAACAGCTGTGGGATAAGGAGCATCGCAACACAGGGTTTCTTTTTTATGGCTCTCATTTGGAAATTTAATCTACTAAGCACCAGGTGTCTATAGAGAGGACAACAGGTGGTTCACAGGTGTGATTAGGTTCTGTCTTTTACTATTGAATTAACATTTGCAGAGTCATGGTTTTAGCTGCATAGTTCATAGTTTTGATGTAATTATGTCTCTTTACTTTTTCTCTTTATCTCTCTGCAGTGGTGTTCAGCCAATTTGCATTCTTCCAGACTGCACTAAATGATGTTGTGGAGGTGTATGATGGGCCTACCCAGCATGCCCGTGTCCTGAGTTCTCTCTCTGGGGCCCACACAGGTTAGTAAACCTTTCTCGAGCGGTATTAACTTGACTCTGTTGGTCTAACCTGGCATTAGGAGATGAATGCTAAAGAGGCTGCATTCAGACCCAAAGGTAAATAGAAGAAGTCAATTAAGCAACTCAATTACCAAGATGAGTTGCGTCTAAAAGTAAAAGAGACACAAGCCTGTGTGATTCTCAAATACTAAAATTTAAAGCTGAAGTCGGAATTGTAAGAATAAGGACTCCTACTGTATGGTATGTGGAAAGTGGTACATAAAATGAGTAGTACCACAGAATTTTAATTTTTGGGTGGACTATCCTTTAAGATTGATTAGTATACTAGTTCAGACAACCCACTTTATTTATTTATGTATGCATGTTTTTTACATACCTAATCTCTGAATGTGAAGCCCATGAATGTCAAATCATTCTAATATGCTGATTTGGTGCTTAAAAAAATATAAATATGTTGTAACATTATAAATGTCTTTACTGTTACCTATTATTTAAAAAAAATAATAATCTTACCTACCCCAAACTTAAAAACAAAACAAAGCATTATAAACAGTATAACCATTAGCGAACATATGGCTTAACCTTAACTACATTTATTTATTTATTTAATGTAGTTTTGCACACACCTATTCCCTATTCTCTGAATGTCAAGTTCTGTAGGGTTTTTTTTTAATTTATTTTTTTTAAGTAAAACAAAAAAGTGACACATTTCAGCTTTAAATCGTTAAAGTTGCCTCAGTACTTGTGTATAATCTCATGAGTTCTTAATTATCAGAACATACAATGACGTACATGAGAGATAATGATGTACTCAAGAGAATAAAATGCATAACAAGCTTGATGACTCATACAGTCTTAACAAACAGATTTCACTGGATCCAGTAAATAGGGCTCTCTTCCTTAAAACAGATAAGAAAACAGAATCAAATAAGCATAAACAGGCTAGCTAAATAGATCCCCAGTGAGACAGCGAGGCTGAAAGCTTTTATTCAGCCATAATGGAGTTCCGTTTAATGTGGTCAGTTGAGGAGATTTCGGCTCGAAGATTAACAGGGTTTTCTCGCTCGATCTCTCTGCTTCTGACATTCCCTTGACAACGCAGATGAGCTGTGTACATTTCTATTTTTTCTTCACCCTTCACACCAGTCAAACACCCATGATTAGCATATGGCGTGAAACCCTTCGCTCAAGGAAGGTGAACCGCTCAGAGCA